GAGGCGCCCTGGGAGCCGCGCTCGCCCCCCTCCCGCTGCCCCGTCGTGGCGCCCTGGGGAGCCGCCCGCCGTCCCCCGAATCGCTTACGGATCGCCCCCCCACTCCCCCCTGCTGCTGCCTTTGTTAGGGTTTGGGGGTGGCGCGTGTGGGGGTGGCGCGTATGGGGGTGCTGGTTGTGTGCTCCGTCCCCTGCTCCTCCTCCTCCTTCGTCTCCCACTGCTGCAGCTGCCGCTGAGGGGGGTGGATGTGTGGGAGCCGAGGGTTAGGGTTTAAGTGGGGGTGGCGTGTGAGTGGGGCTAGGGATGCAGCAAAGGGGTGTGTGATAGGGGGGTGTGGGACTGTTAGGGGGGGGAGAGTGGAGGTCGCTGTCGTGTCGTCTGCAGCGCCTGTAGTCCGGAGCCGTCGTGCTCTCGGTAGCCCAGCGAGCCTGCTTCGCCAGTCGCCTGTGGGTCAGTTGCTCCTGTGTGTGCTCGTCGTAGCCGCGGAGCCAGATACTCCCGTAGTCCGGTGCCCTCGTGCGCTCGGTAGCCACTGTGCGCGCCGCTCCTGTTGCCCGTTGTGTCTGCAGCTTCGCCCATCGCCTGCAGCAGATCGCCCCCCACAGTTTCTCCTCCTCCTCACTTGCCCTCTGTGTTAGTCTCTAGCCTTTGCTTATCACTATGATCTACAGCTCTGAATGCTTGTTGTGCTGGCTGTACCCCACCTTGACTATGGGGGTGTGTCAGAACATAATGCTTGTCTAGTCTGTAGTGGGGTACTCAATAGTGAGTATAACCCTTTTGGGCTTGCTATTTGTACTCCGCTTCTTTCTAGTTCAACCACCTTTCCTCTTCTACTGCTTGTACTTCTCTTTCGTGTACCCTAAACCTAGCTATGGCTTCTTAGTCTTAGCTACTATTCTGAAAAATTACTGTACACCCGATTCTTCAATCGCGCGGCTGGGGTGTGGTTTCAACTCGCGGGAATCTTTCCCGCGTAAAATTGGCATTTCGGGAAGACCAGGTGCATTGACATTTCGAACCGCATGCGATTTTTTTGAAATGACGAGTCGGTTTCCAATTCGTCAGCGACGTCAGCGCTTTTCACGCTGACAAATGATAAATACAGTAATACCGTAAACGCCCGGATATAAGACAGTGTTGAATAGTAGACAGGGGTTGTCTACTATACGGGTGTCTCTTATAAACAGGCTAGCCTCATTATAAGACACCTATTTGTGTGTACGAGATAAAACACATATGTCTTATAATCGAAACTTCAATACATTATAGCGAAAGTTGAAATAACGCGTACATTTTTACCCTTGCGAAGCGCGAATTTCTCCACGCGCTGACCCAGGACCTACCAAATTTGCCTCTGCAGGTGTTCTCCATGACGTGGCGTCCCGGGCAGTGGTTGCCGAAGTGGCACCTTCGCAACATCCGCATTCATTATTGTCAGAACATAATGCTTGTCTAGTCTGTAGTGGGGTACTCAATAGTGAGTATAACCCTTTTGGGCTTGCTATTTGTACTCCGCTTCTTTCTAGTTCAACCACCTTTCCTCTTCTACTGCTTGTACTTCTCTTTCGTGTACCCTAAACCTAGCTATGGCTTCTTAGTCTTAGCTACTATTTTGTCATGGAATCAGAGCGGTTACGCTCTTGGCCTGTGGGCCCCACGTGCTTCCGCTGCTTTCCTGTCTGTCGCGCGCCCCGTGGCGCGCGACGCCTTATTTTTCTTCCCGCCGCGCGTTCGGGTCGCGCGGCGGTTCGCTGCTCCGTCGAAGCTCCCCCCCCACCCCCCGTCGCCTGCAGCAGACCCGCCCGTCACCCCCGCTGCCCCGTCGCGGCGCCCTGGGGAGCCGCGCGCGACCCCACAGCCACGTCGCGGCGCCCTGGGGAGTCGCGCGCGACCCCGCAGCCATGTCACGGCGCCCTGGGGAGCCGCGCGCGACCCCGCAGCCGCGTCGCGGCGCCCTGGGGAGCCGCGCGCGACCCCCCGCTGCCCCGTCGCGGCGCCCTGGGGAGCCGCGCGCGCGACCCCCGCTGCCCCGTCGAGGCGCCCTGGGAGCCGCGCTCGCCCCCCTCCCGCTGCCCCGTCGTGGCGCCCTGGGGAGCCGCCCGCCGTCCCCCGAATCGCTTACGGATCGCCCCCCCACTCCCCCCTGCTGCTGCCTTTGTTAGGGTTTGGGGGTGGCGCGTGTGGGGGTGGCGCGTATGGGGGTGCTGGTTGTGTGCTCCGTCCCCTGCTCCTCCTCCTCCTTCGTCTCCCACTGCTGCAGCTGCTGCTGAGGGGGGTGGATGTGTGGGAGCCGAGGGTTAGGGTTTAAGTGGAGGTGACGTGTGAGTGGGGCTAGGGATGCAGCAAAGGGGTGTGTGTTAGGGGGGTGTGGGACTGTTAGGGGGGGGAGAGTGGAGGTCGCTGTCGTGTCGTCTGCAGCGCCTGTAGTCCGGAGCCGTCGTGCTCTCGGTAGCCCAGCGAGCCTGCTTCGCCAGTCGCCTGTGGGTCAGTTGCTCCTGTGTGTGCTCGTCGTAGCCGCGGAGCCAGATACTCCCGTAGTCCGGTGCCCTCGTGCGCTCGGTAGCCACTGTGCGCGCCGCTCCTGTTGCCCGTTGTGTCTGCAGCTTCGCCCATCGCCTGCAGCAGATCGCCCCCCACAGTTTCTCCTCCTCCTCACTTGCCCTCTGTGTTAGTCTCTAGCCTTTGCTTATCACTATGATCTACAGCTCTGAATGCTTGTTGTGCTGGCTGTACCCCACCTTGACTATGGGGGTGTGTCAGAACATAATGCTTGTCTAGTCTGTAGTGGGGTACTCAATAGTGAGTATAACCCTTTTGGGCTTGCTATTTGTACTCCGCTTCTTTCTAGTTCAACCACCTTTCCTCTTCTACTGCTTGTACTTCTCTTTCGTGTACCCTAAACCTAGCTATGGCTTCTTAGTCTTAGCTACTATTTTGTCAATTATGAGGAACTCTTTTTCAAGAAGTACGGAAAATATTTCTAAGTAGTTTAAAAAGTTTCCATTTATAAGACTTATAAGGGCGTATTCCTATCCTCCTATCAAGAAAACCTCTTATCAAGCTCACACTGAAAAATTCCCTAAACCCAAAATCTCTCGCTACTTTCACCAGGCAAAATGTGCATTCTTGATAGGAGGTTTCTTGATAGGAGGCCGTAGGAATACGCCCTAAGACACCCTAAACCATCCCGTTTACAAGCAGGGCTTCAGATTCGTTTTGGGCCACCCTTAGTAATCAGGGTTCTAGGTATAGTCAACCCTGATGCGTAGGGTAAAATTTTTGTTTCCCTGGCAGAAGCAGGGTAAAAAGAAGTTAGTCTGTTTGGCCAGGGTAATTTTAAACATTATGTGATATGGGAAACGCAAAATTATTGCGGTTCAGTCCTTAATGGCTCAGTTAGTTGGATTACAGGTAAGATAGGAGAGATCGTAGGTTCAAGTCTCGCTGTCGGGAGAATTTTGCAGGGGCCCGTGTAGAGAATGTTTCGCTACAGAGCATTCGGTAGCAGTATAGCTAAGATTGTACACTGTACAGTCAGGGAAATAAGTTCCTTACGCTGTTTTTCAAAGGGTACAAAAAAACTTACACTTTCTGGCCTAGGGTAAAAAATCCACTACCCTGCCTGTGAAAGGGTAACTGAAAAAAAGCGGCCGCCAGTCAGTGCAAAAAGGGTATTTTACCCTGATAACGAGAGGCCTGTTTACAAGATAACTCAAGCATTTTTGCCCGTGTACGAGATAAGACATATATGTCTTATATCCGGGCGATGAAGGTAGTCGCTGAAAGGCGACTCGCATTTGGGACACACTACAGTTTATGTTGTTTTTGGGTCAGGCCCCAAATTTCAAGGGTAAAATACCCTTTTTGCCCTGATGGTAGGCCGCTTTTTCCCAGTTACCCTTGCAAAAACAGGGTATCAAATTTATTACCCTAGAGCAAACAGGCTAAGATTTGATTTACACTGATAACGATTTCTGTTACCCTGCCGATATCAGGGTGCACTGTATACTTCACAGATACCGAATCCTCTTAGCGAGAGTTTTCCTTGCGAAGCTGCGAAAATTTTTGTGCACCAGCCAGATTTGAACCTGCGACCTTCGGAATTCTAGCCTCACATCTGACTAACTGAGACATGTTCTGGTGGAGGCTTGCTCTAAGAAATAATAACCATTTTATGCTTTAAAAATCAGTGTACATTTTTTAGGCTGTTTTTGGCAGGGTACGAAATATTTTACCCTAACAGTCAGGGTACTGGGGGCCTGGAACCCTGATTTGAAAGAGTGGACCTAAACCTATTTTGGGCCCTGTTTTGGGTGTCACAAAGCGATTGAGACATTTGTGTCAATGCAGGAATGTACCCTTATTATCATGCATGCCAAACTATTGTTTGGCTAACTAGTGAGAAAAGCAAATTTGGTTGTAGCTAAGTGCTTGCACTAAATGTGACAATTACAAGCTAATTGAACTCAGGAAAAAGTGCCTAACGCGCTTACGGCTTGTGCTATCATGCCATGCCATGACATGCTATCATGGCATGACATGCAGTGATGCTGGTAGCCACACCATACCTGATGTTTAGTCATGGTAAGAAGCTGGCATGGCAGGTTGTGGTGTGAACTCAACAGCAGATGTGCTTTAGTCTACCGTAGGTATGCCAAACTACTGTTTGGCTAAGTAATGAACAAAGTATGAATGCCTACACTACATGTAAAGGCGAAATGAACTAGCAAAAGGTCAGAATTGATGCCTACAGAAGTGGTCACCCACTTACTGAAGAACCCCTAATGCAGCAGGAATAAGAAGCTGCAATGTGCAAGACACAGACTTCAGAAGCTCTGAAGCATGTCCCTTGCAAAAAAAACCGTAATTAAACCTATCGATGTGGAAAGTAGGTACCACCTCCCCTTCCCTGCTCCTGCACCAGTCATGGTATCACGGCATGCTGCACTAGCCCTCACTGCTCCTCTTGGGTGCCCTTGCATCACTCCTCATTAGTCTCACTGGCTCTTGTGTCGCTTCATCTTGCGGTGTTTCTCCGGGCAGTCAAACGACTTGTGCCCCTCATCCCCACACACAAAACACCCCTCCGCGCCCTTCTTCCTTCCCTTACCCTTCCTGCCCCCCGCCCCTCCATGCTCCTGCTCCATCGCATCCCCACCTCCCCCCATCTCCACTGCAAAACCCCCAGCCCCCGCACCCCCATGCCCGCTTCCCCCACCCCCTGCTCCACCTGCTCCCCCTGCTACCCCTCCCATCCTCCCTGGCCCCCCTGCTCCTCCGCTCCCCATACCCCCTCCGCCTACCACACCCCCCCTGCTAGCCACAGCATACGCCACCTTAACCGGCCTACCGCACGCCACCTGCTGATTCCTCCCAATCGCCCGCTCCAAGCTCTCCTCATCCGCAAAATCCACATGCCCGTACCCCTTGTGCCGCCCGGTCTCCGCATTCCTCGCCAGGCGCACGGCGGCGATGCTACAGCCGGGGAAGAAGGCCGCTACAGCCGCCTCGTCCATGCTCCACGCCAGATTGCCCACGTACGCGCGGAGACTGCCTGGTGCGCGCTGGGGAGGCGGCAGGTCGGAGGGAGCCTTGGGGTGGGGTGCGGCGGCGGTGGCGGTGGTGGGGATGGGGTGAGCAGCGGAGAGGGTAGGAGGAGTGGGGCCGGAGGAGGCGGAGGGGTTGACCCGGCAGGGCTTGATGCGAAGGAAACGGCCGTCCCTGAGGGAGAGAGAAGGGAGAAGAGAGATAGAAGCTCGACTTAGGTGGAGAGAAGGAAGGGAGAGAGGTGTAGGGAGGGGAGAGTGATACAGGTTGGGGTGGGTAAGGGAAGGCAAGGTGTGAATGGGGTGCTCATTTTGCCGGCAGGGGAGGTGGAGGAGCAGCGACAACACAGTGCGGGTCTGCAACATGAAAAGGGAAGGGGGGGGAGCGGAGGGGCGAGCGGGGCAGCAAAGGTGCGAGTGGGGCAGGGCAGCGGCGAGTGGGGCAGGTTAGAGGCAAGCGGTTCAGCAAGTGGAGCGGCTTACATGTCAACGCCGTCCAGCTCCAATGCCTTGCGTGCTCCGATGGCCGTCTGCTCGCCCACACGCACCACACCGCACACCACACCACACGGCACACCACACACGACAACCCACACGACACACGACACACACCACACACCACACCACACCACACCACATGACACACACCACGCAGGCACCCGCAAGAAGGTGCACAGGCAAGGAAGATGGGACGAGGGTGAATTGGGGCCAGCAGCGCAGCGGCTAGCGAGAGGAATGCTTGAGCTCCTAACCACGGTGGGACAGGGCAGAGAGGGGCAAAAGCAAAGAGGGAGCAAAGGGAGAGAGGGGGGAAGGGCAGAGAAGGGCAAGGGGAGCGAGGGGCCGCGGGGGAAAGGGCTAGCGCGAGCGAACGCACCTTGAAAGTGACGAGTGCAATCCCTCGAAATCGGCCCGAGTCAGGGAAGTCCAGGCGGTGGATGAGCGCGATGCGGCCGCACCTTGAAAGTGCCGCGGGCAATTGGGGTAGCATGAGCGAACGCACCTTGAAAGTGACGAGTGCAATCCCTCGAAATCGGCCCGAGTCAGGGAAGTGCAGGCGGTGGATGAGCGCGATGCGGCCGCACCTTGAAAGTGCCGCGGGCAATTGGGGTAGCATGAGCGAACGCACCTTAAAAGTGACGAGTGCAATTCCTCGGAAGCGGCCCGAGTCGGGGAAGTGCAGGCGGTGGATGAGCGCGATGCGGCCGCACCCCTCGAAGCACTCGTGGATTGCATCGTCTGTCACGTAGTACGGCAGCCCGCCCACGTACACCCGCTTCTCCTCGTACTGCTCGCCCTCCCCTGCTGCTGCTGCTGCTGCTGCTCGCCCTGCTGCTGCTGCTGCTGCTGCTGCTGCTGCTGCTCTCGCTGTTGTGGCTGCTGCTGTTGGGGCTGCTGCTTCTCGCGCTGGTGCTGTTCTGGAAGCACCTGCTTCATCTCCTCCTCTTGACGCTCCTCTTCCTCGTCCTCTTCGACCGCCTCTCCCTCCTCTTCACCCTCCTCTCCCTCCTCCTCCTCTTCCTCCTCCTCACCCTCCTCCTCTTCATCACCCTCCTCCTCTTCGTCCTCCTCACTCTCCTCTCCTTCCTCCTCCTCCTCCCCCTCCTCGTCGTCATCCCCATCGCCACTACTCCCAGACGTACCGTCGCCGCCACTACCGCTCTCCTCCTCACTCTCCTCCCCACTTTCCCTATCCCCATCGCTATCACTCTCCCTCCCTCTCTTCTCCGCCCTGCGCTTTCCCCCTTTCATCCCCGCTCCACCACCCCCCATGCCCCCTGCCCCGCACGTCCGTACCCTCCACCTTACAACCCCCAACCCCCGCTCCCCGCCTTCGCCGCCCCCAATTCCGCGCTCCCCTGCGACGCCAACCAGCGCTCGTGCAGCGAATGCGACCTCCATGCCGTGCGACGCTTCTTGCGACGCAACGACGGGTGGACACGTGGCTGCGGGCGCAGGACAAGCGGCGGCGATGGAGCACGTGCGAGCGAACGCAGCAAGAAGGTCGCTCACACCGCCACAGGGGGAGATTCCGGCCCCCCTCTCCTCAATTCCCGCCTCCGGCCTGCCGGTAGTCGCAGCCTCGTCGCCCGTCGACTCTTGCTCGGCGAAGGACAGTCGCCGTCGCACCGGCGCCCATTCGTCGTGCGCGACCGTCGCACACCAGTCGCCGCCGTCGTCCGACTCCTCGCCGTCCGACGCCCAACCGGAGCTTCGCACGTTCCTAATGCGACTGCGACATGCGACGCGCGACAGGGTTCCGCCGAACGCAGAGCCTGTGGGTGCGGACGCCGCCCTCATCGTCGCAGCAAGCGGCATCTTCCACGCGTGCGACTCGTCGTCGTCGTCGTCATCGGTTCCCTCGTACGCCTCTTGACGCGGCTCCACGAGCGCTCGGGGCGCAACAACGTCAATCGGACGAGAATCGTCTTGTTGGATGGGCCAAGCGTTATCCGAACAAATTTGCCGCGCTTCGGCGCGGCCTCCTTGCGACAAGTCCATCTCGTCGCCTGATCGATCGCACGTGGTCGCCTCGTCGCGGACAGCAACGCACGCGGACGCTAATCGGCTGAGCGAAAGCCTATCATTTGTGTCGCAGTGTGCGGTGTTGACGGATCGAGCACCGAGAACACGTCGCTGATCCTTAACTATTGTCGGGCCGGTAGCACCGGCGTCTAGATTATGAGCCAGTGTGAGAGGCCGCGACTCGGAGGGCGTGCTGCAGGCACCCAGCGTCCAATCATCGTCCTCCAGTTCGATGTCTTCGCAGCTTCTCGCAAGAAGTAGCGGCGATCGCGGCGTGGTGGGTGGAGAAGTTCTGAACCGCTTACTTGTCAAGATACTAGCGGGATCTTGGCAAACGGTGTTGAGGAGAGAGATATTACTGCCGAGATAAGATGCCATTAGCTGGGAACTTACAGGAGGCGGCCATTGAATATCGGTCTCTGCCATCACGTTTTCCTTCCCGTCATATTGAGCAACATTCTGGAAGCCCAACCCTCGGGACTCGAAGTGCATCATACTCCCGATCTGCAAACGCGCAGTAAAGCTCCAGGCTCTGAGAGACTAAAATGCCCACTTGTCACAATGGCAAAACCCTTTCTGACCAAATCGGTGCGTGTGCAAATGGCTAGAAGCACAGAGGTATAACTGGGAGTTCTCGAGGAGAAAACGAGTTCTTGGGAAGTTGGAGCTCTCAAGCAGCTCGCTATGAGTTCCGAAGGAATTCTTGGAGATATTTCGAGGTGAGACCCAGAAATGCTCGCAAGGGGTTGCCAAGGAGATTGCGAAGAGGTGCTTTTGGGATAGGGCGACGCAAATTTTCGAGCAACGATTGTCCGAACCAATTTTTGCAGCCTCGTTCAGGAATTGCCGAACCTGCTCGGCAAATATTTTGATTTCGCGCAGCCAACGACAGTTCTCCCATCGCCCTTCGCAAAACCCTCCACACCACAGCGCTGTCGTCGTTCAGCCCGCCCTTCACGAACTGCGCTGACTAGAAATTCAGGTTTGCGAGACGCACATGGTGCCGATGAAGAAAATCTCACCGTCCGATCAAACGCGCAACAAGACCGAAGCAGTGAGGCAGGCATGAAAGGCGGGAGAACCTGCATTCAAATTTGCGCAGGCGCCCTAGCTAGCTGTGAGAGTATATACAGACACATTAGCTGTGTACAACATTAGCGGTGTTTTTATTAATATATGCTGCTACCTATATTCCTAAACACCTTGAAGGTGCCCTAGTCTTGTCAGCCTTCAATATTGAGCTCCCTTTTGTTCGTACATTACTAATCAGATTTCTATCAAACCATGAGAGCCACAGCCTCTTAAAAAAGACATGATAAATATACAGAAGACACCACAGTCTTTTTCTGCATACTTACTTGGCTTCAATGTAATTGATACGATTTCGGTAGGAGGAAATTCTGAAATTTGATACAGGGCATGCCAGGATCACTAATAGGTAGCCGACACATTTCAAAGGCTGATTCAACATCATGTGTATAGAGAATCAATGTGCTAGGGAAAGTGGATATACACTCTTGGCATTGCCTTATGTTCAAATGTGGTCATTGCCTTACTCTCATCCTTTCTCCTGACCTTTGGGAAAGGTGAGCGAACCAGGTTTTGCCCGGAGTCTTGTGACTCCGATGTGGCCGGGATGACGTGTAATGATGCCCTTCTTGTTCATTTTCTTCACGTCCAGAGTGGCCTCCTCGAAAGTCGTGTCAGCGCTTTCCCGCCACGTGCGACGGACGGCTACGCGATCTCAGGCTTGAACTGACTGATCAATTCACTGCGACCCTTCGTCATCCCCAAGATAGACTCCGTCAGCTTGGCTCGTGGAATCCGAGTCTTGTCCGCAACTGCAAAATACACAGCCACCCGAGCCTCGTGAGTGGTTCGGCATGACACCGCGGCTGTTTCCTCATGCGGCTGGTCATCCTTGCACGCTCAGTTGAGCCACCCACCTGGACGCCTCCATCCGCCTTATCCACATTCCGCAACCTCCCTCCTCGCGAGTTTCCAAGTTCCAGACCTACCATCCCAGGAACCCTATAAACTCACTCCAAACCAGCTCAACCCGTCTCAACCCATGCATGAATCGTGATCCCCAACACCAACCCATGGTTCAGGAAGTTCCTTCCAGATGCTCATCACCGCTCCCACCCCCAGAAGAGAGTTGCGGACGAGGTCTACTGCCCCTGAATTGACCACTTTTCACTAACGGCTTTATTCCTGCTAGATCGCTCGGTGTTGCTGTCAGTTTTCTGAAGCAGGAAATCGCCCCTCTGCGTGATCGAAGGAGAATTTGCCGCATTAAGCGCGATCATAACCATGCAGACCGCCACGTCACCGTCCCTTCTTCTCCCACATGCGGCGTCGGCCGTCGCCTCGCCATGGTCCGCGACCAGGCCAGCTGGCGTCTCTGCTGCTCAGCAATGGCCAGCTCTTAAGTGCCACGTGAACGGTCGAGATCGATCCGTGCGCGCGCAAGCGGATAAGGCGGCGCGAGGGCCGATAGGGGAGTTCGGGGAGCGCGTGATGGTGGGCGACGCGGGGGAGGAGGAGCAGGCGGGCGACGAGGAGATGGCGATCAAGCTGGAGTGCGACGAGAGCGGCTGCGTGCTCGTCGTCGGTCGCAACGTGCCGAACCTCGACGACGACTCGCAGGGCTACCTGCAATGTAACCTCACAGGTGTGTGAGGAGTAACGCGTCTCTCCCCTTCAGTGCAAAGTGTCGATATCGCAGCACTGAAGGAAACGGTGTCAAATTGCGTCAAGAATTGTGGAGGAGTCAATGCATCGGCATCCTTCAGTCTTACTGTCATTCATCTTGCAACGATTTCTCGCACATCAAGTAAGTGCTTCAGAGATGCTGCTTGCATGCTCCAACGTATCGCGGATAATTCCACGCGCAGCGGCTCGAATAAGTCATTGTCAAGTGTTAGGCACTATTCTTGCCTTTTCGAGGACTCCTGCGACTCCCGCGCTGCTCTCCTCGCGATCCACTCCTTTCTCAATCCCCTCTTCTCTCTCCCACCCTGTCTCTCTCCCCCCAATTGCGTTCTCGCGCAATTTGTTCTGATGGCTTGCGTGAAATCAACCATTAACGCCGGCCGCGCCACGGCAGGGTGTTTCTACGACAGCGCGGTGCCGGTGGCGGAGTTCCGCGTGCTGGAGGGCTCTCATCGCGATCCACCCTCTCTCAATCTCCTCTTCTCTCTCTCGCCCTGTCTCTTCGCCCTCAACCTGCTTCATCACGGCAGGGTGTTTCTACGACAGCGCGGTGCCGGTGGCGGAGTTCCGCGTGCTGGAGGGCGCGGGGTGGCGCCTGGGCTACGAGACGGCGCCCGCCAGCGAGGAGGCCTTCTGCGCCATGGTGAGCATTTGAGCCCTGAGCCTGCTCATCGCCCGCGCTGGTGGCTTGGCGCCACGCAGGGTGGCTTGGCGCGCTGCATGGCTTGGTTCGCTGGCATGCCTCGTTGAGTCCGCTCATCGCGCGCGCTGCTGGGCAGACTGATCGCCCGCGCTGGTGGCGTGGCGCCATGCTCGGTCGCTTGGCGCGCTGCATGAATTGGATTGGCGCGTGGGGTGGGCGTCTTGGCATGCCGGATTGCCCGCTCACGGGTCACAGGCGCGAGTTTCCTGTATAGTGCTGGAGTTTCCTGTTCTCCTGCGATCGCGCCTCGCTGCCCCCACCTCCTCAAACCAACCCCCTCCCCTTGGTCTCTCCCTCCTCTCTCCCTCCCTCCCTCCCTCCCGCAATTCCCACCCGTGCTGACTGGCAGGTGGGAGCGGGCGGGTGGAGCGTGGCGCTGACGGCGTCGGAGTTCAACGACTTCTGCAAGCTCGTGCAGGTACGCGCATGCAAGCTCGTGCAGGTACGCGCATGCAAGCTCGTGCAGGTACGCGCATGCAAGCTCGTGCAGGTACGCGCATGCAAGCTCGTGCAGGTACGCGCATGCAAGCTCGTGCAGGTACGCGCATGCAAGCTCGTGCAGGTACGCGCATGCAAGCTCGTGCAGGTACGCGCATGCAAGCTCGTGCAGGTACGCGCATGCAAGCTCGTGCAGGTACGCGCATGCAAGCTCGTGCAGGTACGCGCATGCAAGCTCGTGCAGGTACGCGCATGCAAGCTCGTGCAGGTACGCGCATGCAAGCTCGTGCAGGTACGCGCATGCAAGCTCGTGCAGGTACGCGCATGCAAGCTCGTGCAGGTACGCGCATGCAAGCTCGTGCAGGTACGCGCATGCAAGCTCGTGCAGGTACGCGCATGCAAGCTCGTGCAGGTACGCGCATGCAAGCTCGTGCAGGTACGCGCATGCAAGCTCGTGCAGGTACGCGCATGCAAGCTCGTGCAGGTACGCGCATGCAAGCTCGTGCAGGTACGCGCATGCAAGCTCGTGCAGGTACGCGATGTGCCTGAACCTTGCCATGTGTTCCACCCGCAGGTGCGGGCCACTGCAAGCTCGTGCAGGTACGCGATGTGCCTGAACCTTGCCATGTGTTCCACCCGCAGGTGCGGGCCACTGCAAGCTCGTGCAGGTACGCGATGTGCCTGAACCTTGCCATGTGTTCCACCCGCAGGTGCGGGCCACTGCAAGCTCGTGCAGGTACGCGATGTGCCTGAACCTTGCCATGTGTTCCACCCGCAGGTGCGGGCCACTGCAAGCTCGTGCAGGTGGGTACCGTGCCTAGAACCGCGTCTTGCGCTGTGTTCCAGCTGCAGTCATCCATGGGTTTCGCGCAATTGCGCACGTCAGCAGAGCGGCCAAGCTGCAACCACTTTAGGTGCGTTGTGTTGCCGTGGAGTTGGCCGACCTGCTTTCACACCGTAACGAGGCAATTCGGTAATTTGTGCCCCCCGGATCCACGTGCGCCCGTCTGGTGCTGTGCATGCGCGCAGATGTTGCGCAAGGGGCTGATCACCATGGACCAGGACGGCGTGCTCAACCGAGATGACATCGTGATGCAGGTGAGGTGGCATGCCATGGTTATGTGGTTGAGATGGCATGGCCATGTGGGTGAGATGACATCCTCAGGCATGTGAGGTGGCATGATGATATGGGTGTGATACATGGTCATGCACGTGAGGTGGCATGGTATGGCACGTGAGCTGATGGTGGGATGCATTGGCACAATGTCAAGCCAAATCATGGACAGTTAATAGCCTGTTTCTACTGAACGGGCAATTACATTGTTGTTCCATATCCTGGTTCCAACCCCCTCGCCCTCTCTCACTCTCTCCCTTGCTTTCTCTCTGGCGTGCTTCTTTCCCTGTTGTTCATACCTCATGCATGTTAATGTGCATGACTCATGATTGTGGTGCATTATGGATGGTGCATGGGGCGTGGGGCATGATGCATGGTGCATGGGGCGTGGGGCATGATGCATGATGCATGGTGCGTGGCATCAGGTGGAGCGTGGCAATCTATGGATGGAGTGTGTGGTGGCGCGCCAAACATTGCCCACACTGCAGCGGTTTCTCAAGGTACGTCACACCCCACTCTTTTAATTCAGCATCATGGTCCAAACTCTGCCTCCATTTCTGCTTCTAGCTCTGTATCGCTCTCATTCACAGTCATTCTAGCGCTGTGTCGCTCTCATTCACAGTCACTGCAAGAGCGCAATGCATAGCTTGGGTTGCAAGGCGCTTTGAATCGGGCAACCTTTCAAGCGCAGCGCTGTCATCATCCCACCTAACTGTCCTGCCAGCTCATCCCTAGCTTCACTGTCACCTGAACAGAGAAGCGTGAGAACATGGCATGGATGCCTTAGCATGCGGTGTTCAGTTGAGATGGCATGGCAGTGATATGCGAATTCTTTAAGTGCTGGGGTGTGTGGTGTGTGTGCAGATGGGAGGGAGGCCTAGTGGAGCAGCCTTTGCCATCCGCTTCATTCTCTCAGGCACCGATTCCAAACGCCAGGTAAGTTCCTTGGTCACTCCACTCATCTCTTCCCTTTTCCTGCCCCGGGAATCGATGCCAGCCACTCATTGCTCTGATGACCACATGTCATGCCACTACGTCTATGTGCCCGTCCACGACAAGCTTCTCTTGCCACTGCCCTAATCACTGCTCCCTGTGTGTGCTCCTCTCTGCCCGCATGTCTTGCCATGCAACACCCCACCCCACCATACCAGGCGGAGGGTTTCTGGCCAGCAGAGGCGGTGATGGACATGCTGGCCAAGATGGACGAGCTCTCATCACTGCTCCCTGTGTGTTGTACTCCCCTCCGTCTGCATGTCATCTCATGTGCCCCCACCATACCAGGCGGAGGGATTCTGGCCAGCGGAGGCAGTAATGGACATGCTGGCCAAGATGGACGAGCTCTCATCGCCTGCACAGCCCACTGTGCCTGCCATCACATGCCCTAATCAGTGCTTCCCATGTGTCGTCCTCCCCTCCCTGCCTTCATGCCATGTCATGTGGTCCCACCATACCAGGCGGAGGGATTCTGGCCAGCGGAGGCGGTGATGGACATGCTGGCCAAGATGGACGAGCTCTCATCACTGCTCCCTGTGTGTTGTGCTCCCCTCCCCTGCCTCCGTCTGCATACTATGTCATGTGGTCCCACCCCACCAGGCGGAGGGATTCTGGCCAGCGGAGGCGGTGATGGACATGCTGGCCAAGATGGACGAGCTCTCCTCGCCTGCACAGCCCAACTCCTCCAGCAAGCAAGCGGAAGCAGTCACTGCCTGAGCGGCTTATTTGTCGACATAAATTGATTATTGGCACTAGTTCTCTGAAAGCAATTATCATTTGTTTCGGAGATGTATGGATGTTTGTGTGCAGAATCCCACATCCAGCAGTGGGTGCTAGGTCTATTGCAATAGTGAGCATGCCATTGGCTCCTGCACGCTCCCATGTAAATGGGACCTATGCCAATAATGCCCGTGTTAGGAATTGAAAGATGTTTGCATTATGAGTCTCCATTGTGAAGTATTGTTGCCATTATGGCAAAGATTTTTTTTTTTGCAAAAGTGAAGATAACAATGTACAGTAATGCATTTCAATAAGGATCAAGGTTGGACCAAGGCTTGCGCTGCTGATTGTGTGGAGCACAACGGCGGCTATCAAACTGGTTGAGGTGGCGCCAAACGGTTGGTGTGACTCGAGTTCCAAGTGAACACGGGCAGCACTTTTCTTCCGAACGGCTTCCGTTACTCTCTCTTCACCCTCCGATACGAACTCGCCCATATCCTACGGCTGTTTCGACAGCCCTCACGGCCAGGAGTTTTCTAGGTTAATGCACATGACACACGTCAGGTTGGCGAAGCGAGGCTGGGCTGGATCTGGTTGGCGGGAGAGAGAACTTCGCGCCTCGTGAGCGCGGAAGGTTCCCCATCACCCCACTACAGTTCAGCACAGCTGGACTGCGCGGACCTGATCATCTGTGGCGCAGACCCAGAATTGCCTCTGGGGGAGGAGCGTCCGTTTGTGTCGCGCTGGGGTTTGCCCAGCCTTGGGGTTTGCTGGGCCTGAGGGTTGCCTGCCCAACATTGGGGTTTGCCGAGCGTTGGGGTTGCGCGGCGACAAATGGAACTTGGAAAGCAGGTTGATGAGCGCCAGTCAAGGTACAATTGCAGTCGGAAGAGGAACGCGATTGATGACGGTACACGTAGCACGACCAGCGCACAGGCAAGCAGGAAGAATTGCAGGTCTGGCCAGTCGGTGAGAGGAGGAACTGTTGGTTTGGGTTTGATTAATTTAGAATGGGTTGAGTTGGGTTCCTCGATCACTGACCTCCGTGATGGAAGTCCAGGTCAGACAGGCGGGGTTGGGGGAGGAGTCAGAGGAAGGACGCTTCCAGACGAGACGGCCGCTGGTGATCAGGGAGGTCCGAGAGTTTCATTCTTGAGGCACCTCCCAACCTAATCTTGTTCTTTTGTTTTTTCGTTCGACAAATAATAAGGCCAGCTGCCACACCTCTTATTTTTTGCCAGGGCAGCGTCCACTTATAATAACGTATCGCTCTATCAGGCCGTCGCAGCAGCTTCGCATGGCAGGTCCGACAAATGCTAGCGGGGAAGGGAACACGATTGCTCGAGGCGGGGAATTGTCGAGTCGTCGAGTGGTCGGCGTAGGTCCCACGTCGCAGCGAGAATCGCGAGGAATGGGAATGGATGGCGCTAGGGACAGTAGGGATGATCGCCGTGTGAGTGGGTGGAGGAGCAGTGAAGCGGGGCAAGCGGGGGAAGGGAGGGAGAAGAAGCGCGTGCCGCGGGTGGTGCGGACGGCGTGGGTCCAATGCGACGACGCTAAGTGCAAGAAATGGCGGCGAGTGCCGATGCAAATTGCACGAGCTATGAGCAGCAGCGATGCGAGATGGTTAGTGAATAGGAAAATTCAATGTGGGTCAGTCGGTCGATAGTACGCCCAAGCGGCGTGAGTCAGGTCATCGGAAGAAGGTCCTTTCGCCAATCCTTGCCGCTCTCGTGCCGCTCGCCGCATACTATCTTCCCATCCGTATCTCCCCGTGTTTCTGTGTTAGGGTTTCGTGTCAGGCTCCACGCTTCCACGTGCTCCGCCGCACCTCCTATCCTCAACCTGCCATTGTCTGACGCCAGTACTCATTTGTGATGAAACATTCAATCTTTATCTCAAGCATTCTCTCTACCATCCGTGACGTCATCGCTGCGATTGATGACGTATTATCGACAAACCCTAGAAACAGCCGCAGCGACCCTTGCGTTCACCTACCGTCCCGTTCGTTCCGCCACATACATTGCTCGTCCCCTCTTGTCGCCCCCATGCCCCACATTCCCCGTTGTCGCACCTCCCCGCCGGTCCCCGACATTGTCGCAGGTTTTGTCGCATGAATCCTGATCCCGCCTTCGCCAGCTGTCGCGTTCCGCAGGAAAGCGACGACGCGAACGACAACGACGACGCCGAGGACGACGACGAAGCGGAGCAGGATACGCGGGGGACAGACGGCGCAGGGGGGAGCAACAGCAGGGGCGAGAGGGAGGTGGGCGCGCGGAAAGAGCAGGGTGGGGGGGAGGGAAGGGGGCATGGGGGCGAAGCGGACGGCGGCGGGGGAGGGGCGGCGGAGTGGAGCAGCGCGAGCGAGTGCAGCAGCGAGTGCAGCGACGGCGACGGCAGCGTCGCAATCCAATTCTCCGACTCCGACGATGACCCCGACCCGGGCGACGACGACGCGCAGTGCGCGCCGTGGCGCGGCGCGGATAGCGCGCACGGCGGGCGCGGAGGGGAGGTGCCGTGGTGGCAGTGGGGGAGCAGCGGGAACGGCCGGCTTGGGGGAGGCGCGTCAGGGCGGGGGAAGGCGGGGCCTGGGAGGGGAGGGGGGAGAGGTGCTGGAGGGGTGGGCGGAAGCTGGGGCGCGGTCATGGGGGGACCGGGGAAGCCCACCGTGCCTCCGCCTCGCCTTGTGGGTGAGTCCGCCTGTCTTTGCGCTTGCGCGTGGCATCCCCCCCGCGCCTCGTCCTCTTCCCCTTCAACATTCCTTCCGCTTCCACCCGTTTTCCCCCACCTCTCGTGAGCGTTGAACAATCGCCTGCTTGCGCGCGCGTGTTTCGTTCCCCTTGGGCGGGGCGTGCGCAGGGTCGGGGAAGCGCGCGTGGATCCGCATCGTGGAGAACGAGTACCTGCACCGCCGGCCCAAGCTGCAGCGCACCGACGAGGTGAGCGTGGGGGGGGGATGGGGGAGGGGAGAGGATGGGAGGGGAGATGTCGGGTGGCGTGGAGAACGAGTACCTGCACCGCCGCCCCAAGCTGCAGCGCACCGACGAGGTGAACGGATGGGGGAAGGGCGGAGGGCGGAGGGCGGAGGGCGGAGGGCGGAGGGCGGAGGGCGGAGGGCGGAGGGCGGAGGGCAGAGGGCGGAGGGCGGAGGGCGGAGGGCGGAGGGGGAGAGGTAGGATGGCGTAAGGTAAAATGGGCGAAACGAACTGGGTGAAAGGACGAGGCAGATGGGAAATTCACAAGGGGGCAATGCAGGCACTTAGGAAGTCGAGGCAGCGTGAAGCGAACAAAAGAGACACAATCCCATGTCACGAGCACATGCCTTCCCCTTTCCCTCAACGCACAAGCTCTTCATTCCACAACCATTTTATTCATCCCCCGCTCCTCCCCTGTCCCCCCCTCCCCTGCAGGTGCTGGTGTGCCAGTGCGTGCCGCCACCGCCCGGGAGGCGAGAGAAGGGGTGCGGGGAGGCGTGTTTGAACCGCCTGGTCAGCATCGAGTGCCAGCCCAAGCTCTGCCCCTGCGGTGCTGCCTGCGCCAACCAGCAGGTGAGTACTCTCACGTGGTGCAATGCGGTGCAGTGCGGTGCAGCGTGGTGACTTTTGAGTCGACTCAAGAGCGGGGGTGCGGGGAGGCGTGTTTGAACCGCCTGGTTAGCATCGAGTGCAAGCCCAAGCTCTGCCCCTGCGGCGCTGCCTGCGCCAACCAGCAGGTCAGTGCTTTCATGTGGTGCACTCTGGTGCTCGCGCAACCACCCGCACACCAGTTCCGGTCCCACCCCATGTCCCTTGTCCCTGCCCCATGCCCCTTTTGTTGCCCCCTTCCCTTGTCTCCGTCCCCTCCCCATCACATTCCGCTCCCTCTCGCCCCCTTTCCCTCTATTTCCGCCACAACAGTTCCAGCAGCGGCGGTACGTGAAGGTGGAGATAGCGCGGTACGGCCGCAAGGGGTACGGCGTGCGGGCGCGGCAGGCAGTGGCAGCGGGGCAGTTCATAGTGGAGTACGTGGGGGAGGTGCTCAACCGCAAGGCGTTTGCTGTTCGGCTTGAGGAATACAGGCGCGCCAAGCAGCGCCATTACTACTTCATGACGCTCAACAACAGCGAGGTACGGTACGGTACAGTGCGGTACAGGGCGGTACAATGCAGTACAGTGCGGTACGGTACGGTCTGCGCCCCTGCAGTGTGCGGCAGGCGGTGGCAGCGGGGCAGTTCATAGTGGAGTACGTGGGGGAGGTGCTCAACCGCAAGGCGTTTGCCGTGCGCCTCGAGGAGTACAGGCGCGCCAAGCAGCGCCACTACTACTTCATGACGCTCAACAACAGCGAGGTACGGTACGGTGCGGTACGGTACGGTGCAGTGCGGTACGGGAAGGTACAGTGCGGTACGGTACGGTCCGCGCCCCTGCAGTCTGTATCAGGCAGTGGCGGCGGGGCAGTTCATAGTGGAGTACGTGGGCGAGGTGCTCAACCGCAAGGCGTTTGCCGTGCGCCTCGAGGAGTACAGGCGCGCCAAGCAGCGCCACTACTACTTCATGACGCTCAACAACAGCGAGGTACGGTACGGTACAGTGCGGTACAGTTCGGTACAATGCAGTACAGTGCGGTACGGAACGGTCCGCGCCCCTGCACCCTGTAGCAGGCGGTGGCAGCGGGACAGTTCATAGTGGAGTACGTGGGGGAGGTGCTCAACCGCAAGGCGTTTGCCGTGCGCCTGGAGGAGTACAGGCGCGCCAAGCAGCGCCGCTACTACTTCATGACCCTCAACAACAGCGAGGTACAGTGCGGTACAGTGCGGTACAGTTCGGTACAGTGCGGTACAATGCAGTACAGTGCGGTACGGTACGGTTTGCGCCCCTGCAGTGTGCGGCAGGCGGTGGCAACGGGGCAGTTCATAGTGGAGTACGTGGGGGAGGTGCTCAACCGCAAGGCGTTTGCCGTGCGCCTCGAGGAGTACAGGCGCGCCAAGCAGCGCCACTACTACTTCATGACGCTCAACAACAGCGAGGTACGGTACGGTACAGTTCGGTACGGTACGGTACAGCGAGGTATGGTACGGTCTGCACCCCGTCAAACCGTTGTAGGCGGTTTGTGAGAAGAACAGAAACAAAGCAGGGCCCCAATTCATGACGCCCACCATCAGCAATGTAGGTACTGCCGCCAGGCCTTGATGCACCACTCCCTGTCCCCATATGCCCGTCCACTGCCCATGCGCCCCCGCCGCCCATGCCCCTGTGGGCCCGCCCCCCATGCCCCTGTGCCCCCCGTCCCTTCCCTCTGTGCCCACCGTGCAGGTGATAGACGCGTGCCGCAAGGGCAACTTCTGAGACGTTCCAAAGCCGTCAACCCCTCTATCCCCTCTCCCCTCCCTCCCCTCCCCCTCTTCCTCCTCTCTTCGACCCCCTGCGCACACTGGCAGGTGATAGACGCGTGCCGCAAGGGCAACTTCTCGCGCTTCCTCAACCACAGCTGCGAGCCCAACTGCTGCCTTGAGAAGGTGCGCGCACATTGATAGCGTTAATTAAATTGACTGGGTTGGCATGTGGGTGGGCTGACACAGGGTTGAGGCCGTGCAGATGGACTGCTTGCCTGCCAGCCTGCCCTGCCTGCTGCATATCACATCTTGCCCGCGCTCTCATCTGCATGCCACACCATCTCCAATCTCATCACCCACGCCCTCTCACCACCTCTCCTGTCCTCTCAGCTCCCGTTCTCCCCACCACTCATGCCTGTCCCCATCGCCACCTCATCTTTAACCTGCATGCGGCGCTGCAGTGGATGGTGCGGGGCGAGCTGCGCATCTGTCTCTTCTCACCTCTCCTGTCCTCTCCTCTGCTGCTGTCTCCCCCACCATACGTGTCTGTCCCCCCCCCATCACCTCATCGTTCGTGTGGTGGTGCAGTGGATGGTGCGGGGCGAGCTGCGCATCGGTCTCTTCTCCCTGCGACCCATCAAAGCGGTGAGTCCCCTCCTCCTCCTCCCCTGCCCCTGTTCCTGCCGTTGCTCCTGCCCGTGTTGCCTTGTGAGCTGATTTCTTACTCGCCTCACTAAGTGTCCCTCCCGTGACTGCAGGGCGAGGGTCTATCGTTAGACTACAACTACGAGCGCCTTGTGGGTCAATTTTCATTTCCCTCACGTACTCCCCACCCCTCACCCCCTCCCGCCCACATCTCCCCCCTTCCCCACTCTCCCCCCTCTCTCTGCAGGGCGAGGAGCTATCTTTCGATTATAACTACGAGCGCTTTGTGGGTGCTCGCCCCACGCGCTGCTACTGCGGCAGCCAGTCCTGCCTCACTCCCCTCCCCCCCTCCCCGCCCGCTCTTCCCCCTTTCTTGTAGGGCGAAGAACTGTCATTCGACTACAACTACGAGCGCTTTGTCGGCGCGCGCCCCACGCGCTGCTACGGTGGCAGCTAGTCCTGCCTCACCCCCCTTTGCCCTCCCTCCCCCGGTCCCCCCTCCATCTTTTCCTGTGACTGCAGGGCGAGGAGCTATCATTCGACTACAACTACGAGCGCTTTGTGGGCGCTCGCCCCACGCGGTGCTACTGCGGCAGCCAATCCTCCCTCCCGCCCATCCCTCCCCTTCTCCTCCCCTTCCCTGCAGGGCGAGGAGCTATCATTCGACTACAACTACGAGCGCTTTGTGGGCGCGCGCCCCACGCGCTGCTACTGCGGCAGCCAGGGCTTTCGGCCCAAACCCTCCCCCTCCCCTCCCTCTTCCCCCCCCTCCCCCTCGCCTCCATGTCCTCCCCTCATGTCAGGGCGAGGAGCTATCATTCGATTATAACTACGAGCGCTTTGTGGGTGCGCGCCCCACGCGCTGCTACTGCGGCAGCCAGTCGTGCCGGGGCGTGCTGGGCGGAGCTGAGCTCAAGAAGCCTCGGGTGCGCCCTGCTGTGCAGCGAGCTGTGGCAGAGGAGGTGGAGGAGGAGGAGGAGGAAGATGAGGAGGAGGAAGCAGTGGGAGGGGGAGACGGGGAGGGGAGGGAGGGGCAGCAGATGGTGGTTAGTGAGAGGGGGATTGGGCTGGGCAGGGAGTGTGAGGCGGAGGAGGAGGAAGACTCAGAGAGTGAGAGTGACGACGGGAGTGACAGCGAGAGTGGGAGTGAGGGTGAGGGGGAGAGTGAGTCGGGGAGCGAGAGTGAGTGGGAGGAGGTGTACGGGTCAGGGGAGGGGAGTGAGGAGGAGTGCGGATACAGACATGAGATGGTGAGTGGGAGCGGGGGCATGACAGGTATGGGAGGGATCAGGCGAGATGGCGTGCATGTGGGTGGGGAGGGAAGGGATGGAGAGGCGGGGAGTGGGGGCGAGAGGGGAGCAGGTGCGCGCCTAGCCTGGGAGGGCAAGCGGGCGAGGTCCCGCCTGACCCTCCCCCACCCCAGGTCTCTCCGCCCTGCGCTGTCCCCCTGGCTCCTCTCGTCCCCGCGCTCCCCCCCCGCCCATGCGCGCCCCCTCCCATCCCCCTCTGCGCGCCCTGGATCTCTCCAGGGAGGGGCTGCTGCAGGGCGCGAGGGGAGGGGCGCGCAGGGGGGGGCGGGCGGGCTGGGGGCAACACATGGGTGGGGGACGCAGCAGGGGGAGAGGGAGGGGCGGGGCGGGGAGGATGAAGGGGAGGGGGAGCGGGCGTGGTTTGAAGGGGACGAAGAGGAGGGGGATGGGGATGGGGAACGGGAAGGGGAGGGGGAGGGGGAAGCATGTGTGGAGGATGGGGAGGGGGGCGTGCGGCATGGCAAGAGGCGGAGGCTGCGGAAGGTGGCAGGTCTGGGAGAGAGGGTGTGGCGACAGGCGGGAGAGAGGGGCGGGGAGAGGGAGGAGGGGAGCAGGGAGGCGTGGGGGGGCGAGGAGAGCGGGGCACACGGGCATGGGTTTGACCTGGTGGCGGATGCAGCAGGGGGGGGAGCGGGGGCGGGGGAGGTGCAGGCAGCGCCGGCGGAATATGTGGTGGCGGCATGTCAGGGGGTGCTCTTTCACTCCGATGGTGAGTTGTGCTGCTTGGTGCTGCTCCGCTGCACGTTGTGCATGACATGTGCTGCCCGTGTTGAGTGTGTGCGCCATGCATTGCCCGAGCCGAGCTGAGTATGTGGTGGCGGCGTGCCAAGGCAGGGGGTGCTCTTTCACTCCGATGCTGAGCTGCTCCTCTGCGTGCGCTGTGGTGCAGTGCAGTGGCATGTGTTGGCTCGTGCTGAGTGTTTGCACCGCCCATTGTGCAGTGATAATTGTGTTGCACGTCCAGCCTTGCATCACCCATGCACCTCCCCATGGACGTGCGTGTATGTGTGGTGCGTGTGTGCGTGTGGGTGTGGGTGTGCGTGTGGTGCATGTGCGTGCAGTGGAGGAGGCGTTGGAGTTGCTACTGGATGGCAATGACGCTCTCATCAAGGGCAAGGTGTGCTGTCTTTCTCACACCCGCTCCCTCACTCCCATTCCTCCATTTTTCCCTCCCCTCTCCTTAATCTCCCCCTTCCTTCCCTCTTTCAACACTCTGATCTTTCCTTGCCATACCCTTCCCTCCCTGTTTTTAAGTTTCAACCTCATTCTCCGTTTTCTTCCATCGCTGCTTTCCTCCCCAACGCTCCCTGTCCCACCCTTTACCCCCATGGCCGTCAGAGCACGGCACGATCCTTTGTGCGCCTGCTAATGCGCGCCACCTCCTGTGGCGACTTCTCCTCAGGTGTCCCCAACTTCAGGTGGGTGGGCCTTGAGCCGCAGGCAGGTGCAGGCTGTGGGGGGTGTGGTGGTGGGTGGGGTATGGTGGTGGGTGGGGTATGGTGGTGGGTGGGGTATGGTGGTGGGTGGGGTATGGTGGTGGGTGGGGTATAGTGGTGGATAGTGACGTCATGCTATGCCTTACTCCCAGCATCCAGGCATGTACCATACGTCTCGCATGTTCTGCACTTCGGCTCTTGACTTGTCACTCGCTGGCATGCCGGTTCTTCATATCACCGCTGCACACCACAATCCATGTGTTTGTGCGTGCATGCGTGTGCATGTGTGCATGACTGCGTTGTGTGCGCCCCATGCAGTGCCAAGGAGGTGTCGCTGCTACTGGAGGCGCTGCTGCGCACCTCATCAAGGACACTGCTGAAGCACATCATCGCCACCAATGGTGAGTCTGCTGGTTCTTCTGTTGAGGCACCTTATAACGAGGCACTGCTGCACAACCCGTCAAGGCACTCCTCAAAAACATCATCGCACCACCACCAACACTGCTGCACACGTCGTCCAGAACGATGTCAGCTTCTTCTCCCTTTCGACCCTCTTTGGACCCATCTTTCCCTCTCTCTCTTGTCTCTTTAACCATCTTCCCGCCATCTCCTCTCCCCCTTGCTCCTCCCCCCCTCTTCCACCCCAGGATTGAACGTTCTGCAAATCCTGGCGCGCAAGCTGCAGCACGAGAGGGAGCGAGTGGCCATTCTGAGGAAGCTGCTGCGCGTGGCACACCACCTGCACGCCACCGCTGCCCTCTCCCTGCAGGCCGCGCATGCCGTCCCGCCCACTGCCAATGAGAGGTATGCATGCTCTGTTACTTCCTTCCTAAGCTGCTGCGCGTCGCTCACCACCTGCACGCCACCGCTGCGCTCTCCCTGCAGGCTGCACACGCCGTCCCGCCCACCGCTAATGAGAGGTGCGCGTGCTGCCCCGCTCCTTCCTTAAGCTGCTGGTGCTTGACTCACGTCCATTCCCATGCCACATGCCACATGCGACCGGCTCTGCATCACTGCAGTCACTTCATGCTCTTCATTCTTTGCGCCCCTTCCGTGCTGCATGAACTAATCAGCGTCTCTGCATTCGCCCTCTCCCTCCCCCTCCCCCTCCCCTTTCCCCCTTCCCCCAGCTTCTCCGCACTGATTGGCCGGCTGCGCAGGCACAGGGACGCGGAGGTGCAGCGCCTGAGCGCCGCCCTCTCCGCCCTCTGGGGCCTTCCGCCCCTCCACCCCCGCCGCCGCGGCGCCCATCCCCCCTGCGACGGGCGCGGGGGGCCATGGCAGGGCAGGGGGGGACGGGAGGGGCGCGAGGGGCGGGTGCACAGGGCAGGGAAGGGCAGGCGCGGGCATGGCAGGGAGGCAGTGGCAGCAGAGGGTGCAGGAGCAGCAGAAGGAGAAGGGGGCAATGCTGCGGTTGCACGGGCTGCTGCGTCGGCTGCAGCAGCGGTGGCAGCAGCAGCAGCGGCGGCGGCAGCAGCTGTTGCGAGAAGCCCCACCGCCACAGCAGGAGCAGCAGCTGGTGCTGCTTCACAACTACCCCAGCGCCACACCTCCTCCCTGGCAGAAGCTGCTGCTGCTGGAACCTGTGCCTCCGCTCCCTCTCACACCTCTCCTGCTGCAGCAGCTGCCACCACCGCTTCAGTTGACCCCTCGGCGTCTGCCTCTGGCCCTGCCACTTCCCATCCCACTGCCCCCTCCCCTGCTGCTGCTGATTCCGCCGCTGCGGCGGCCGCAGCAGCGGCAGCAGCAGCCAGCATGCCTCTACTGGCGCACACCCTTCGCCACCTGCAATCGCTGCCACACCTGCAGACCCTGCCGCACCTGCAGTCGCTCTCACTGCCTCTCAGCATGAACCTCGCCCTGGGGGGGAACCTGGGCATGGGCATGGGCATGGGCATGGGAATGGGCATGGGTATGGGCATGGGCATGAACGTGCCTCCCCAGCTGTGTCACCTGCTGCCGCTGGCCTGCCACTTCCCCTTCCACTACGCTCTCCCTCTGCCGCTTCGCCTCGCGTTTCCGCCGGACCCTGCTTCCCTGCTGCTGCAGCAGCAGCATGGGCCAGCAGCAGCGGCAGCAATGGCAGCAGCTGCTGCAGCCGTGGGTGGGCCGAGTTGTCCGCCTCGGGGGGGTGCAGACGCAGGCGGCGCACCTCATGGTGCACCTGCTGCCGCCGCCGCCGCCGCCGCTGCCGCTGCTGCTGCTACTCCACCCGCTGCTGCTCCTCCTGCAGCTGCTGCAGCTGCGACAGTTGCTGGTGATGCGGCAGCTGGTGATTCTGGTGGACGCGGGGAGGGTGGTATGGCTGCCACTGATAGCAGTGTTGCTGCCGATGATAAGACTACTGCTGCCGATGACAAGAGCACAGCTGCTGGTGATAAGAGCACTGGCAAGGCACCATCCACCACACCAACGGCATGTGGCCAACCCCATGCAGCAGCGTCTGACGCCACACCTGTCCCAGCAGCAGCGCACCCTTTGCCTGCTGCCGCCCACCCCCTGTCTGCGGCCGCACACCCATCACACTTCTCAGCGGCCACCACGGCAGCGGCAGCAGCAGCGGTGCAGCACATGATGCAGAGGCGCCTCTCCCTCGCCCTCTCCAACGCCGTCTCCCAAGCCAACGCCGTCTCCCAAGCCAGCGCCGCCGCCGCCGCCGCCGCTGCCGCCACGCCTGCTGCCAAGCCTTCCGCTCCTTCCCACCCGCATGCCCCCTCCGCTGCCCCCTCTGCCCCGGCTGCTGCTCCCCCTGTGCCCGCTTCCCCCCCTGCTGTGCCACATGCTGTTCCACCCCTTGCAACTCCTTCCTCCTCTCCCACCAAGCTCCCGGCCTCGCTGCCTACTGATTACCCACTCCCTGCTGCTTCTTCCTCGCCCACGCCGCCATCACCCTTTCCCAAGCTCTCGTCCCATCATGCCCCCCAGCACGCCCCTCAGCCCGTCTGCCAGCCGCACTCGGCGCCCTTCACCAGCCCTGCACGCTGCCCTGCACCTGCTGCCGCTTCTGCTGCCTCCAAGGGGGCGAAGAGGCGGCAGGCATGGAGGAACGTGGGAAGGGAGAATGGATTGGAGAAGGGGAGGGAGACGGGAGGGGAAAACGGAGTGGAGAAGGGAGGGCAGAAGGGAGGAGAGGGCCAAGCGAGTGTGGATGGAGTGGGCAAGAACGTCCCAGAGCCTGCATTGGCAGTTGCGGCTGCTGATGCTCCTCTTCCTGCCGACTCTGCTGCTGGTGATATTCTTGCAGCGGTTGACACAGAGAGTGGAGAAGAGATGGGAGGGTCGGCAGCAGTGGCAGCAGCGCCTGTGCCCGCACACCAACCACCTCCCTCGTGCCCTGCAGTTTTTGAGTCGTCTGAAAGGTCACCCTCGTCCCCTGCTGCCCTGCCCACAGCGCTTGTGGCGGGCAGTGCGGGCAGCACATGGCATGGTGCCGTGGTGCATGCAGCAGCATCAGGTGCAGCATGCAGTGTGCCACCCCATGACACGTGGCATGCTGCAGCATCAACTGCTGGTCATGCCTTGGATATTTTCCCTGGCGCCACCGCCCTCTCATTCGCCTCCGCTGCTCCTGCTGCTGCTGCTGCTGCTGCGGCTGCTGGGGCTTGTGTTAAGGTGGAAGGCAGTGCGACAGCAGCAGAGGCGGCGGGGGGGAAGCGGGGAGAGGAGGGCATGGCAGGGACGTGGAGGAGAGGTACGCAGGTGGCAGGGGATGAGGCTGCAGGGGACAGGGGGGCAGGGGACATGAGGACAGGTGCATGGGGTGCAGGGGCACATGGTGAAAGGGGTCTGGCGGCAGCCATGGTTGCAGGAGATGGTGATGCAGCGGCAGGGAGCAGGGCAGTGGCGGCACCAGCATGGGCAAGTGGTGCAGGTGGGTTGGCCGCGGTTCCTGAAGGTGAAGCAGCGGCTGCTCGTGCTGTGCCCGTGCCGCCCCGCCCTCTGTTCAAGTGGGTGGTGAAGGAAATCCCCGTGCCTGCTGATGTGCATGAAAATGTGCATGCAGACGGGCATGCGGGCACGCAGGGGGCCGTGCATGGGGGTGTGCGGGCAGGTGATGTGGCTGGTGCTCTCGCAAATGGGGGCGTGAGGGATAGTGGCATTGGCAGTGGGGGCATGGGTGGTGGGGCAATGGGTGGTGCAGGCATGGGCGATGGGGAGGGCACACGGGATGGACTGGGGAGTGTTGGAATGGCGTGGGGTGGGGGAACGGGGTGGGGGGGGAGATTGGGCGGAATTTGGAATTGGGGAGGAGCACACGGCCTGGCGGCATATGGCATGCCATATGACACGGCACATGGCATGGCGTCAGTGCAGCATTCGTCAATACAGCAGGCATTAATGCAGCAGCCTGCCGCGCACCAAGCACCGGGGCAGCAGGGAGCGGGACAGCAGGCAGGGCTGCAGCAGCAGGGAAGTGGGCAGCAGCAGTGGTATGATGCATGCATGCATGGGCATGCGGCAGCAGGGATGGCGGCAGGGCGAGCCATGGGGTACGCACAGGCAGCGATGCCATGGGCTGTGCAGCACGGTGGGTGGTGGCATGCTGCTAGAGCACACGCCATGCTGGCAGCAGGGGGGGCGCCAGAGGAGGAAAAGGCAGTTTCTCATGGTCTTGATCCTGTGCAGGTTGCCCCTGCTGCTAATGGGACAACTGACACTGCTCACACCGTTGACATGACTGACAAGCCCAAGGATTCAACTGGCGTGACATCAGGATGGATTGATGTGAAGGTAGAGTGCACGGACGTTACACCAAGCTTTACTGACATAGGACCACATTATACTGACATGACACCTGATTTGACTGACATGAAACCAGAGCTTATTGACATGGATCTGGTTTCAGATGAGTTGACTAACATAGCACTGACAGCTGCTGACGTGGAGCCTATAGCTGCTGACGTGAAATCGATAGCTGCTGAGATGAAACGAGCTGCTGATGTGACAACAGCAACTGCTGACGTAAAACAAGTGGCTGCTGACGTGAAACCGATAGCTGCTGACTTAAAACCGATGGCTGCTGACCTGGCTGTCCAGGAGTCAGTACCACCTGGAGCCTCTGACGTGGCTACGGGGCCATGCGGTGCGGATGCCAAGGCACAGCGAGAGCACAGCCTAATTGACACGACCCGCTCCTTGACCCAGCAGCACATGCCCGTTGAGGCGCCTCAAAAGTCCTTGCCCCAGCAGCACATGGCTGTTGAGGCACCTCGAAAGCCCTTGCCCCAGCAGCACATGCCCCCTGCCGTGGAGACTAAGGCGGAGGATGTGGCAGTGCGTGGGCAGAGCTGGCAGAGCTGGCAGAGCTGCTCGCCTGTGGACCCTCCTCTGAGCCGCGTGCTGCAGCAGGTGGGTGAGTTGGAGGAACAAGGGCGGCAGTGCCTGCAGGGCCAGCAGCAGCAGCAGGAGCAGCAGCAGCAGCAGTGGGTGGAGCAGCAGAAGCAGGAGCAGCAACAGAAGCAGAAGCTGGAGCAACAGCAGCGGGTGGAGAAGCAGGAGCGGCGGCAGGAGGGGCGTGTTAGAGGGGGACGTGCGGAGAGGGAGTGTGGGAGGGGGAGGGGATCAGGCGTGGATGGCGAGGGGAAGAGGTGGGCCGAGGCAAGGCGGCCTTCCAAAAACGGATTGCAAGGAGTTGCGGCTATGGCACACGGGGAGGTGAGGGCTGGGGCGGCGGAGGAGGGGAAGCGGGAGGTGGTGGAAGGGGGAAAGCGGGAGGTGGTGGAAGGGGGAAACACGGATGCATTGCAGGGGGAGGAGCAGGGTCCAGTGCAGGTGAAGGCTGGAGAGGGAGAGAAAGGGGTTGGGGATGTTGTGGGGCGCAGCGGGGCACAGGCAGGTGTGGTGGACGCGAAGGGAGGTTTGGCGAACGCGAATGGTGGTTTGGCAGACGCGAAGGGAGGTTCGGCAGACGCGAAGGGAGGTTCGGTGAGAGGTGCGGCGGACGCGAAGGGAGGTGCGGCGGACGCGAAGGGAGGTGCGGCGGACACGAAGGGAGGTGCCGCGGTTGCGAAGGGAGGTTTGGCAGATGCAAAGGGAAATTCAGCAGACGCGAAGGGAGGTGTGGCAGACACGAAGGGAGGTTTGGCAGGCGCGAAGGGAGGCTTGACAGATGAGAAGGGAGGTTCTGCGGATGTGAAGAAAGGTTTGGCAGATGCGAAGGGAGGCGTGGCGGACGCGCAAGGCAGGAAGGTGCGTGGGGGAGCAGGCAAGGCGCAGGAGAGGCTGAGGCGGTGGCAGCAGCAGCAGCAGCAGCAGCAGTTGCAGCAACAGCAGGAGCAGGGGCAGCAGCAGGCAGTGCAGGAGGGCAGGCAGGATGAGGTGGTGGGGCAGGGCAAGGTGGATGTGCAGAAGGCGGGTGAGAAGGCAAGTGGCGGAGACAAGGGCGTGAAGGCTGCGGAGGTGGCAGCAAAGTCAGAGTTGAGGGGGAGCGATGGGGTAAGGAAGGGAGCCAGTGCGAAGGGGGAAGAGGATGGCAAGAAGGGAGAGGACGCAAAGCAGGGAGAAGTTGGAAACAGGGGAGAGGACGCAAAACGGGAAGAAGTTGGAAACAGGGGAGAGAATGCAAGAAAAGAAGCCACAGGCAGGGGAGTAGAAGCAAAAACGGGAGAGGTTGCGAGAGGAGAAAGAGAGCAGGTGGAAAGGAAGCAGGAGGGGAGGGTGGGCATGGATGGTGGGGTTGAAAAGCAGTGGGGCCTCCACGCGGATTCTGGGTGCCATGCAGTCGAAGCCCTCTCCGCTGGTGTTCCACCACCCACTGCTGCAGCATCCCCTGCTGCTGCTGATGCTGGTGCAGGCAGTAGTAGCACCCATGGTGGTGCCGGCGGCAGTGCTAATGGGCCGCCAGCAGCACAGCTGCAAGCACTGTCAACTGCAGCCCCTCAAACACCCTCTGTCACTGCTCCTCAACCCCCGTCAGCCACTGCTGCTCAACTCGCGTCAGCCACTGCTCCTCAACCCCCGTCAGCCACTGCCCCTCAATCCCCCCCAACCACTGCTCCTCAATCCCACCCACACCCTGCCGCCTCCCCCCTCGTGTCAACCCCTTCTCACGTTCTCTCGCCATCACCTCACCTCTTGCCCTCATCCTCCCTCATGCCCCCCCACGCCTCCTCTCCCATCCCCCCTTCCCCGCATCCCTCCCTGCCACTCACCCAGTCCTCCTACCCATCACCCTCTCCCGCCCCACATGCCCCCTCCCCAGCCTCCCTCACGCCCTCCTCTTGGCCGTCCCCTGCTGCTCCTCTCCCGCCCTCGGCGCCCCCATCTCGCCCCACGTTCAAGCTCAAGTGGAACGTGCGTGTCATCCCTGCTGATGCGCCCCCTCCCGCTGCTGACGCCCCCTCGTTTCCCACTGCACATGCTGCTCCCTTTTCGCATGCTGCTTCTGCTCATACTGCTGCTGCTTATACTTCTCATGGTGCCAGCTCAGCTCATGCCACCGGCTCAGCGATGCCTCACAGCCTGCATGCAGGTGGTGCAGCAGGGGAAACAGCAAGAGTGTGTGTGTCACAGTGGCAGGGCGAGAGGCATGGGAGTCAAGGCGAGGGGCATGGGTGGCAGAGCGATGGGCATCGGTGGCAGAGCGAGGGGCGTGGGAGGCAGGGTGAGGAGCATGGAAGTCAGCAGCAGCACATGCAGGCACAGGGGTGGCAGCATCAGCATCATCAGCAGCAGGAGGAGCAGCAGCAGCACAGCGGGCCTCACCGACTCTCTTCCTCGTCATCATCCGCTGGCGTCTCTGCTGGTGCTGCTGCTCGATTCAGCTGCAACTGGCGTGTGGACACGCCTCTTCCACGCACCCATCACTCCTCCCCTGCCCCCTTCCACCCCCTCTCCTCCCCACCACCCCGTGCCTCGGCTGCTGACGGGCTGCCATACGGCCTGTCACACCCAGCTCCTCACGATGCACAGAAGCAGCAGCCTCACATGCAGCAGCAGCACACACAGGAGCAGCACATGCAGCAACATCACATGCAGCACGAGCAGCAGTATCATCACAGTGAGCATCATGACACGACCCAGCGTGCCAGCAACGGAACCCTTACCGCACCTCCCCATGCTGCTCCTCATGCTGCCCCTTCTCACTACCGTGCCCATTCATCCCTCTCCTCCTCCGCCACGCCTCCCGCCGCGCTGCCCCTGGCATGGCGCCGGGCAGGCCGGCCCGTGTGGAACGTCAGCACCGTTGCCGTACCCACAAACCCTTCCACTGAACCGCCCACTCACAACATGCCACGTGGCACCGCAGGTTTTTCCAGTGCTGCAGAAGCTTTTGTGCCTCCTGTGCCACATGCTGCTGCCTCTCCTCTCCCACCACCCTCCGTTGCGTTCTCTCACCCATCATCCCCTCTCCACTCCTCTCCTCCTCCCCCCCTTCCCCCGCTCTCCCCAGCATCAGTCCGACCTGCACCAGATGCCACCTGCCCCTCACTAACCACCACCCTCCCTTCCAATCCACAGGACAGCGCTCTACCCCAGCAGCACTTCCCATCTCCTTCCGCCTTTGCTTGCTCACACCCCCCTCCTCCCCCACTAGCCCCTCCTCCTCCTGCCTCTCCTCCACCATCTCCTCCCCCACCCCCGCCTCCCCCTTCCTCCTCACCCCCTCCCCCCCCGCTTTCTGCCCTTTCAGCCCCACTCCCTTCAAGCATCCCCCTCTGTGGGCCAGAGGCCGGCGGGGCAGTGGGGGAAGGGGAGGGGGAAGGGACATGGAGGGTGGGAGAGGGCGAGGGGGGTGCAGGAGTGCAGGTTGGGGTGGCTGGTGACATGGGCGTGCCCTCGTGTGGGGAGACTAGACGTGAAGACGTGGGGCATGGGGAGGCGGGGAACGGGGAGGTGGGGCATGGTGAGGTGGGGATTGGGGAGGTGGGGTATGAGGAGGACATGGAGGTGGATATGGAAACAGAGGACTTAGGTGCGGACATGGGCACATGCATGGATACGGGCATGGGTACGAGCGTGGGTGTGAGCACGGGTACAGACATGGGTGCGGGCACAGGCACGCGCATGGGCACATGCACTGGCACGGGCAGCGGTGAGGAGGAGGACATGGATGTGGACATGGACCTTAGTGACCTTAGCGACCTTGGCGACTGCTCTCATGCTCCGCCACCACCTCAAGCGGCAGCAGGTGGGGCGGCAGCAGGTGGGGCGGCAGCAGGTGGGGCGGCAGCAGGTGGGGCGGCAGCAGGTGGGGCGGCAGCAGGTGGGGCGGCAGCAGGTGGGGCGGCAGCAGGTGGGGCGGCAGCAGGTGGTGCGGCAGCAGGTGGGCCGGCAGCAGGTGGGGCGGCAGCAGGTGTTGCAGAAGGTGGGCATACATGGGGTGAGGAAGTGGAAGAGGGAGCAGGAGGTGTGGGCGGCAAGGACGGTGGGAAGCAGGGCACGACAGCAGGAGCAGCAGAGGAGGCAGCATCGGTTGGTGCAACAGCTGCGTGTGCAGCACAAGCCACGGATCATGTATTGGCCCCACCACTCGCACCAGCCTCGTCAACCGTGGTAGCCCCACCAGCCTCGACAGCCCCGCCAATGGCACCAGCAGCATTGGCGTCGTCAGCAGCGGCGGCATCTCCAGCAGCAGGGGCGGGCGCGCGGGTGGCATTGGGTGGGTGCATGGCAGGAGGAGCATCTGCAGCAGCGGCTGCAACTGGCACGCGGGTGGCGTCGGGTGGGTGCATGGCAGGGGGGCGGCGGTGGGCCACTCCGCTGTGCCGCGAGTTTGAAGTTGCGGTGAGATGATGGGCAGGACAGGGGGTAGAGGAAGGGAGATGAGGGTAAGAGGTTGTGGCAGGTGGGGCGTGGTTGCGGGAGGAGGGGTCGCAAGCGGTGTGCCTTATTCGTGCTTCTCTCTATCCCCCATGCATTCCAACAACGCCTTGAGATAATTGTGTGTGTGTGTGTGTGTGTGTGCGCGCGCGCGTGCATGTGTGTGCATGCATGTGCAGGTGACTGACATAGTGCAGCATGCCATGACTCCATTCCTCTCCAAGGTAACGCCTCCACTCAACCCCACTTGTCACCCTCTCTCAAGACTCTGCACTTGTCCACACTGCCATTGCTGCTCGTGCTGCCCTCTCATCACCCAACTGGCTCCCCACTTTCCCAATTCCCCCATTTTTCATTCCCCCATTTTCCATTCCCCCATTTTCCATTCCCCCATTTCCCATTCCCCCATTTCCCATTCCCCCATTTTCCATTCCCCCATGTTCCATTCCCCCATGTGTGAATCTGCCCCATCTGCCCCCATCGCACCCTCTCACCCACCTGGCTTGTGCCGCATCTCAAAGCCCTCCACACGCGCCTCACTCCTCTGCTTCCCCTCCTCACCTCCACTTCCATCTCCTCTCTTCCCATCCCGCACACCCCCTCCCCTTCTATTCTCTCCCCTTCCCCTGTCTGCAGCTGTCAGGGCGGGAGGTGGAGCGCATGCGGGGGCGGCTGGTGCGGGAGGTGGTGGGGAAGGAGGCGGTCAAGAGCCGGCAGCGCACCCACCAGGTGAGCCGGCAGCGCACCCACCAGGTGAGCCGCCAGCGCACCCACCAGGTGAGCCGCCAGCGCACCCACCAGGTGAGCCGCCAGCGCACCCACCAGGTGAGCCGCCAGCGCACCCACCAGGTGAGCCGCCAGCGCACCCACCAGGTGAGCCGCCAGCGCACCCACCAGGTGAGCCGCCAGCGCACCCACCAGGTGAGCCGCCAGCGCACCCACCAGGTGAGCCGCCAGCGCACCCACCAGGTGAGCCGCCAGCGCACCCACCAGGTGAGCCGCCAGCGCACCCACCAGGTGAGCCGCCAGCGCACCCACCAGGTGAGCCGCCAGCGCACCCACCAGGTGAGCCGCCAGCGCACCCACCAGGTGAGCCGCCAGCGCACCCACCAGGTGAGCTGGCAGCGAATGCCATGGGGCTCCACAATCATCATTGCTTGTGCTGCCCCCCCGTTCACTGTTGCAGTATTATGCCGCTTCCATGGTCGCACTGCATCCTGTGTTCCCACTGTCATACGCGCGTATGCCTCCTCCATGACCTGTGCTTGCGTCTCCCTTACAATGCCCCTCGCTACTCTTCTCTCTGAGCCCTGCTTGCATGGCCCCTGAGTGCATGTCCCACCCAACGCGTGTGCCTCACAATGCTCTATTTGTCTCCCTCTGGCTCGTGCTTGCTCATGTGCCATGCTGTTACACCATGCCATGGCAGGGAGCGATGCGGCCCATAGAGGAGCGCCCGTTGAGGGAGAAGGTGTCTGCCTTCGTGCGCCAGCACATCGCTGTTTACCTGCAGAATAGGCCATCGCTATGATTATTGGTATGGCAATATAGTGCAGAATGTACTGCTAATGTATAGATTGCAATGTATATAATATTAGCTAGCACTAGATAAGCTACTAACGTTATAGTAGAGCTTAGCTATAGCTCTATGATATATGTAAAATGTGATGTGCATCTGAAATACAATGCATTTGAGGTGTCGCATCTGTGACGCCCTAGTTATGCCTTGTCAGAACATTCCACCGTTACATAATCCGATTCAAACGTTCTGGATCGCGAAGCACCTTCCCGAATCGTCTGAAAGTGAACACATACTCACGAGCAGCTGGATCTGCGAACAGATCGAGCACCAGACCTAGCACGGCATTTCGTGAATTTAGTAGCTGGCTTCCACCAAAACGATCGCTGGGTCCCGCACGTTCCTCGCCACTCGCCTCGCCGCCTCTCCCGCCACAGATCGCGGCTTGACCCCTGCCTCCTCGCCTCCCCGCCACAGATCGCGGCTTGACCCCTGCCTCCTCGCCTCCCCGCCACAGATCGCGGCTTGACCCCTGCCTCCTCGCCTCCCCGCCACAGATCGCCGCACGTCTGCCGGCCCGGCAGCCGTCCGATTTACAGCTTGTTTAACCGTCCGCTCATCTGTTCGCACGCGCGCTGCGCTGCGCGTGCCGGCGGGAACGGCGGCGGGCGGCATGTCGGCGATGTCGGACAACGTGGGGCAGTACGGCCGCATCGGCACCGTGCCGGTAATGCCGCACCCGCACCTTTCTCCGCCGCCGCTCGTACTGCCGCTTGCGTCGCCACGCCCTTACCCATCACTGCACCACTGCGCGCTGTCGACTTGCCCCTCCCAATGAACCAACGCCCGTCACATTTTTCGCCCAGCGTCCGTTCCCTGCTCGCTGCTCTCTTCTCTCTGCGATCTCCTCTTTCCTCTGTGCGCCACTCACTTCATGGCATCTTCACCCGCACCTCATCTCCCATCTCCATGCACTGCCACGCCCCTTCCCCCAATCGCCCAAATCCCTCTCAGGTGGCCCAAGGAGCCGAAGTCCCTCTAACGCACCCAGGTATGTCCTTATAACGAGTATGTCCTGTCAGCGCGCCCATATGCCTGTTACCTTCTTATAACGAGTATGCCTTCTCAGCGCGCCCATATTCCTGTGTCCAGCACCACACGTGACTGCAGCAAGCTCCTTGTCCGCCTCACGCACTTCCCACTTTCTGCTCATCCCCATCCATCTGCTCCCCACCCGTCTGCTCTCCATCCCTCCTCTCCCCACCCATCTGCTCTCCATCCCTCTGCTCCTCTCCTCTGCTCCCCATCCTTCCGCTCCCCGAACCGCTCTTCCTTACCGCTGTGTGCTCTTCCCCCATCCGCCCACCTCCCCTCTCTCCTCCCCCATCGCCTCCCTGCGCTGGGGTGTGGCAGAGTTTCCCTACACGCCCGAGCCCGCAGCCAGCAGGGGATCAGGTGAGTGCAGGCGGCATGCCAATTCGTGCGCTGCTTGGGCTCACAGCAATTCCTTCTCTGCCTCATGCCATTCCCCTGCCTCTTCCTCCCCTTCCCCCTATCACCCCGCTTCCACTGCACCCTCCTCGGCCCAAACCCTCCTCCCCATCCCCTCCATCTCCCCCTCCCCTCCACCGACCCCTTCCCCAGCCCCCCACCTCCCCCCTCTCCCCCCCCCCCACCTCCCATGTGCCCCCCAGACACCTTCTCGTCGACCGCAGGTGGGGGTGGCTCGTCCCTGCCGCCGCCCCCGGTGGGCATCTGGGGCGTGTTCACTGTGGCCTTCTACCGCCCCTTCTTTGACGTGGACACCGCTGACGTGGCGGAGCGAGTGCGGGACGCGCTCATGCCCTTCCCGCGCTCCTCCTTCCTCGAAAAGACCGCTCTCAACCCGGACATGTGAGGGGAGGGGTGTGAAGGCGGAATGTGAGGGGAGGGGTGTGAAGGCGGAATGTGAGGGGAGGGGTGTGAAGGCGGAATGTGAGGGGAGGGGTGTGAAGGCGGAATGTGAGGGGAGGGGTGTGAAGGCGGAATGTGAGGGGAGGGGTGTGAAGGCGGAATGTGAGGGGATGGGTGTGAAGGCGGAATGTGAGGGGAGGGGTGTGAAGGCGGAATGTGAGGGGAGGGGTGTGAAGGCGGAATGTGAGGGGAGGGGTGTGAAGGCGGAATGTGACGGGAGGGGTGTGAAGGCGGAATGTGAGGGGATGGGTGTGAAGGCGGAATGTGAGGGGAGGGGTGTGAAGGCGGAATGTGAGGGGAGGGGTGTGAAGGCGGAATGTGAGGGGAGGGGTGTGAAGCCGGGCATGTGAGGGGAGGGTGTGAAGGCGGAATGTGAGGGGAGGGGTGTGAAGGCGGAATGTGAGGGGAGGGGTGTGAAGGCGGAATGTGAGGGGATGGGTGTGAAGGCGGAATGTGAGGGGAGGGGTGTGAAGGCGGAATGTGAGGGGAGGGGTGTGAAGGCGGAATGTGAGGGGATGGGTGTGAAGGCGGAATGTGAGGGGAGGGGTGTGAAGGCGGAATGTGGGGGGAGGGGTGTGAAGGCGGAATGTGAGGGGAGGGGTGTGAAATGTGAGGGGAGGGGTGTGAAGGCGGAATGTGAGGGGAGGGGTGTGAAGGCGGAATGTGAGGGGAGGGGTGTGAAGGCGGAATGTGAGGGGAGGGGTGTGAAGGCGGAATGTGAGGGGAGGGGTGTGAAGGCGGAATGTGAGGGGAGGGGTGTGAAGGCGGAATGTGAGGGGAGGTGTGAAGGCGGAATGTGAGGGGAGGGGTGTGAAGGCGGAATGTGAGGGGAGGGGTGTGAAGGCGGAATGTGAGGGGAGTGGTGTGAACGCGGAATGTGAGGGGAGTGGTGTCAACCCGGACGTGTAATAACACCACTCACCACACCACACCGCACCCGCTATCCCCCCACCCGTACTCACCCCTCAACAAAACTTCCCCTCTCACCACCCACCCCTCCCCACGCGCACGACAGCTACGGCCCGTTCTGGATCTGCACGACGCTCGTGTTCCTCTCCGCTTCGCTGGGCAACCTGGCGAGCTACCTGAGCTACGCGGCATCGCCCTCATCAGCGGCGGAGGAGCACTGGCACTACAACATCGACGCTGTCAGCTGGGCTGCTGCCATCTTCTACCCTTACCCGTGCTCACCCGTCACCAAATCTCCCCTTCCCACCGCCCAATCCCTCTCCACCCAACCCAACAGCTACGGCCCGTTCTGGATCTGCACGACTCTCGTGTTCCTCTCCGCCTCGCTGGGCAACCTGGCGAGCTACCTGAGCTACGCGGCATCGCCGTCGTCAGCGGCGGAGGAGCACTGGCACTACAACATCGATGCCGTCAGCTGGGCCGCTGCCATCTTCTACGGCTATGTGGCCGTCGTTCCGCTGCTGCTCTTCTTCCTCCTGCGCTACCTGCAGGTACTACTTGCACGGCTGCTCTGTGCTACCTGCAGGTACTACCCTGCTCTGAGCTACCTGCAGCTACTGTCCGCACTGCTGCTCTGTGCTACCTGCAGCAGGTATCGGCTCTGCTGCTCTCTGCTATCCGCAACACCTGGAGGTCGTTCCCTCTGACTTGGATGGAGTGCTGAAAGGAATCCCAGCCACTGCATGCAGAGTGCTTTTCTCCGCTGAACGCTGCTCATTTGGTTAGCAACAGCGTTTGATCAGTGCCCCTTTCTGCCTTCCCGTGCATGGTGTGTGCATGGCATGTGTGTGGAGTGCGTGTGGCGTGCATGTGGTGTGTGCATGGGATGTGCGTGGAGTGCGTGTGGCGTGCATGTGGTGTGTGCATGGCATGTGTGTGGAGTGCGTGTGGCGTGCGTGCGTGTGGTGTGTGCATGGCATGCGCGTGGAGTGCGTGTGGCGTGCGTGTGGTGTGTGCATGGCATGTGTGTGGAGTGCGTGTGGCGTGCATGTGGTGTGTGCATGGCATGTGTGTGGAGTGCGTGTGGCGTGCATGTGGTGTGTGCATGGCATGTGCCTGGCGTGCACCTGTCGTGTGTGTGCGTGCAGGTTTCCGCGGGGTTGGTTCAGCTGTGGTGTCTGTATGGCTACTCTCTGGCCGTCTACATCCCCATCTCGGTGCGTGCAAGGGGCGAGGGGCGAGGGGCGAGGTGCATAGTGCATGGTGCATGGTGAATGTTGCATGGTGCATGGTGCATGGTGCATGGAGCATGGTGCATGGAGCATGGTGCTGGCCTCCCCAACTCCCGCTGCTATTTCTCTATGCCATGCGCCAAGGGCATCAGGCAGGACCATGAATGCCAGCGCATCCATGCACCCACACACACGCTTGTGCGATGGCACATGAAACATCATCTGTTAGGCACCTCCCTTTCACGTACTTCCTCTCCGTGCCTCACACCCCCCTTCCCCTTTACACCCCCCCTCCCGGCAGTTCATAACGGTGTTGCCGCTGGACCTGCTGCGCTGGCTCATAGTGCTGGGCGCCACGGCCATCTCGTGCTTCTTCCTGGGCGTCAACCTGCGCGCGCAGATCACAGTGGGCCACGAGATGTGGTTCCCCATCGTCGTCGGCGCTGTGCTGCTGCAGGCTGGCCTGGGGGTTCTCCTCAAGCTCTACTTCTTCACCTACATTCAGCTCTAGGCCCGCTCTTGAGGTGCCTCAAAAGACTCAGCTCTAGGCCCCGCTTTTGAGGTGCCTAAAAATACTTTCAGCTCTAGGAATGGTCATGTTGGAAAGCTGTAACGAGCGTGTTTTGTTACACAGGTCCTCAGAATGCACTCATGGCAAAGCTGATGGATGGCACTCACACATGCCTATGCCCAGGCCTGGTCTCCCAGAATGTGAACAGCGAAACAAGGTTGGATTAGCAAGCATGAGAAACAATACAAACCCTAAAGAATTGTACTCACTAAAGTCTACTTCACTGTAGCCAATCACACATATAAACATAGTTTGACACACC